ATATTTGTATGGGTTGATGCCTAGGGTTTTAGTCAAGTAATCCGGAGGCTGCTGTTACTATTTATTATTTATTTCTGACTCTGCATAAACAATATTGTGCTCTTAACTATGAAGGATGACAAAGGATTTGTTTTCCACTGAGCAAGTGTCATTAGGAAAGCTTCTATGATGAATCATCTCTTGCAACTATTTACTATACCTCTGCCTGCCATATGCTTTTATCTTATTTTATGTTATTTTAGTCCTGCTCCCTCGGTATACCGCGTTTTTAAAGCAAATGCTGTGAAGTGCATTCCTCAAGTGTCCCCAACCACACACATTTTCACATGCCTTTCAAGTAGCAGTGTTACCCTTTCTTAGGAGTGATTTTTCAATGCATTTGTCTTTTAAAAGTATTCTTGCTAATAATAATAGAGTAACAATTTATTAATAATTGTTTCTGCATTTACATTTTGGCACAGTTTTAGTACCTGATGCTTATTCATTTGATGAATAATTGTGAGACCCTAGTGGTAATCAGGAATCATGCTAGTTACAGCGTGAGCAGCAGTCTCTGCTGTTAAGAAAGGGTTCAGCCTAAGCTGGGGTTTAGTGGTAGGCAGTTGCAAGATACATGTGCGATTCTAACCTCAGGCCAAGCTACACTGGAGTATTAAATTAGGGTCAGAGTGTGCACTGTGGGAAACTGCTTTAGGGTATACCAGAAAGCTGAAGACAAATGCTGTTTGGGAAAATCTGCTGCTTTCTGCCCTTAATGAGAATAATGGCTGTTTTGTTAACCAGGTAAGTAAGGCTGATGTTTATTGAAATGCTCTTAAATAAAAGCATATAGTCCCAAGTGTCCATCAATAGATGAATAAATTGTGGTATATATTAGGTTGGTGCAAAAGTAATTGTGGCTTTTGCCATTTTAAATGGCAAGGTGTTCCATTTTAATAAAGATTAAATGGAACAGCTTTCAGTTATAAAAAAAAGACATACTGACTCATACTATAATGTGGACAAACCTTGAACACATTAAGCTAAGTTGAAAGGCGGCAGATACAAAGGCCACATAGTGTATAATTTCACTTACATGAAATGTTCCAGAAAAGGCAAATTCGTAGAGACAAAGCATATTAGTGGTTGCCATGGGCTGGAGAGACAGGAAGACATGTAACTGCTTAATGGGAACAGGGTTTTGAGTGGGGAGGTGGTAAAAATCCTCTAAAATTAGATAATGATGATGGTTACACAAGTCTCAATATACTAAAAACCACTCAGTTGTACACTTATTTAAAATAACCTTATGGTATGTGAATTATATCTCCATGTGAGTTCTTCTGGAAGGTAGTAAACCTGAATTTTTAAAAAGGGCAGTAATTGAATTGTGTATTTTAACATGGCTAAAAAGGTGGAGTTTATGTTGTATATTTTACCACTATTTGAAAAAAAATTTTTTTAAGACAACAACTAGAAAGAATTTGATTTCTCTTTCCACTCTGGCAGGACCAAAAGAAAAGATTTGTAACCAGTAGGTTAATGTGGTTTTGGTTCGGTTTGGTTTTGGTCAGCTTCATTTAGCCTATAATGGGTCATGGCTTTGAAGCTTTTGTCTAGCACCTAGTCAGGCTGATGAGGCAGGATGATGTCTAAAGCTGGGCATAAGGAGAGCCCTTGGATTGGAGAGAACTGTAGTAGGTAGGAGAGATGCTATATCATTCACTACTTAACCCTTCGTCTTCATTAATCCCTGGAGTAGCTTCTGTGCTTCAGGCAGCTGTGGAGAATTTGTGCATACACCCAGTGATTTGTTGATGAAACTCTGTGGGCAATAACCACAGCCATTGTATTTGCAGCCTTGTGCCTGCTGGCCTCATTTTCTTGTAATCTTTTTACCTGAAACTGTGTCAAAACTAAATTTTCCAGAAATTGAATCAAAATGTTGACAAAATGTCTCAACAGTGCTCTCTGGCCTGGATGTGCACTTACTTGCCTTAGTTTATTCTTTATCTTAGTAATTTACTTTGTATGGTTTGGTCTCTGATAGCTTTTGCAGATTCTGGGTAACAGGAGTTACTAAAATTTGTGAAATAATATCCCATTCTGTTTCTTGGTACACATTTTAAGTCAGTCAAAACAGTGTTTGAGAGAGAGTATGTCTGGCTCTTTAATGCCCTACATAGCAGAAGACTTTGTACAGGATTTCATTTCAATCCTAAATGACCTGTGAGAATCTGGTCTCAGGTAAAAATCTAGTTACTTTTAACCCACTACTTAATTTCTCTTTGGATATTATTGTTTGTTTAACATTTAATATCTGATTGCATAGATAATATGATACTACCCTCTCTATCCCAACTCCTTGACACCCAGAACTTTCTGCAATTGGATTTCCTGTTTCATTGCAAGGCAGTATTGGAGCCTGCATTCCTAGCAGCTAAGAATAGAAATAACAAATTAATAATTATTAATAATAGTGTAAACAGTGAGTTCATTGTTCTACAGATTGCATTTTGAAAACTGGTATTCCTAATGTATTTATTTCATGCATTAAAAATGAAGTCACAAGCGTTTTAGATTTAGGTAGGTAGCACTCAGAGAAAGGATCTCACAATCTCTGCTCCTCTTTGCATAAGCCGAGCAAAAGTGAAACTATGTTTATAGCTCCAGCTTTGATACAAATACTTTTCTGAGTCTAGACCCATGGGAAAAGGCATCTTTCCTTGTGCTCCTTGAGAACACTGTGTAAAGAACGTACTAATGAAAGAAGCTAAGGTCAAGAAGAATGAATGAGTCCACCTTTAAAATGGCAAATTTTATCCTGTTACTCTTCTACTAAAAACAATCTGTTGTATTCTATGAGACGGTATGGATTGTGTCCAGATGCCACACTAGGCCACACTCAGGGTCCTTGAATAGCTGTGGTTTGCCACTCTTTCCTGCATTGTCGTGGTGGTTCTTCCCTTGTTGCTGCCTGAGAGATACTGCCTCGTTCTTACAGACACAGATTATGTCATCTTTGCAGCCTTCACCAGAGTTGCCCCCTCCTCCTAGGGCATTTTGTTTTCCTACCTAATACTAAGCGTCAGCACGTTAGTAATAAACAGGTCTTTCTCTACCATTAGTCAGAGATGGGAGTTAAGCCTTTCATCTTTGTAGCCTTCCCCAGTACCTGACAGGTTTGCTACCTGATTTACTTCATGGGAAGTCCCTCAAAGTACTGTTAATTATCCTGTGTTCTCCTGCCTTGCCTCTCAACAAAAATTCTGCGGTTCCTGATTATTTCCATTTTATAAGTGTTTTGTTCTTTTTCTATCTAGGCAGCATAATTCGTTGTATGAGGCGCCTGGAAGAATTGCTTCGACAAATGTGTCAAGCAGCAAAAGCCATTGGAAACACTGAGCTGGAAAATAAATTTGCAGAAGGTCAGTATCAAATGCATAAGCTGTTTCTAATTTAGGCAAATTTTGTAAAGCAAACCTTGAGCCCTGGACCACAACCTAGGAGGACATTTTGAGATGTTCTTCACTGTATTGTCATAGAGAGCCATCTACTAGTGTTTCTGTAAAATTTAGTGTGTTGGGTCGGGGGGTTGTTGAGGTTTTATATATACATCCATTTATATATATTGATTGTACACTTACTACATGCCAGGCGTTGTTTTAAGCACTAGGAGATATAGTGAACCAAAAGATACCACTGCCTTCATAGAGTTTATATTCCAGTGTGGGGAGATAGACAATAAGTCAACAGTTAAACTTACAAGATGGTGATAAGTCTATAAGGTAAAAAAGCAGAAAAGACAATGGAATTCGCAGATGGATAAGATGGTCTAGTGCCTCCACGGGGAGGGTGGCAGTTAAGCCCCTTGGTATATGCCTGATATACTTGAACACTAGCAAGAGGCCAGTGTGGCTGGAGCAGAATGAGCAGTGAGTAGAGCAGTAGGGATTGAAGTGAGAAAGGAAAGGATTCATAGCTCCCAGCCCCAGACTTCTCAACTCTGCAGTGATTGGAGGTGTGGAGCTTGGGAGTAACCTGCCCTGACTTGGACTTTACAAGGTAATTCTTGCTCTTACATCAGGGCAAGTCTGTAGTGTAGTACAGTAGAAGCGGGAAGACCAGATCAAGAAAGGATGGCTAAACCAAGGTGGTTGTAATGGGGTTGGCGTTGGGGTTGGGGGGAAGGGGCATAACCATGCCCGTAAATAGTTTTGTCATTTCTACGGAATCCTGACCAAGAAAAAGGACTAAGTTAAAGCATCAAAAAGTAGTAACCACATTGTTGCAGAGTCAGTCAATGCTGGTGATTTCTGCCAACCACTTAAGTGTCCTAAGAAGAGGTTTGCAAATCTGGCTTATATTTCCATATCATTGATAAAAGCAGGCCTGTTTAATAACTCAGAGTTTAAGTGTAGGTGTCAAAGTTTTAAAAATAATTTGTAAATAAAATATCTATTTGTCCTGCCTTGGCCCAGAAAGAATTTCACATGGGAGCTGAAAAACAATACAGTGTCTTCTGATATAGGTTGAAAATCCAAGTCTTCGGGTTTACCTTTCTTTAGACAAGTTAGTCCGTCCTAGAATTTGTCTTTTTAAGCAGTTCTGGACATCTCCTTCCCGGCCATCTCCCATAGAGTAGTTCAGAGTCAGAAGAATAGGGGTCTGGCTTCTGTGTTTCCACCTCACAGAGGTGGCTGCAAATTTCTCTAGGTGTTCAGCACGGTATTTGACTTTCGGGGCTGCTCTCTCACCAATTGAATCAGGGTTGGTATGGTGTCTTTAAAACTTCAGTAGCGACAAGTTAGGTGTTTTGTGGTCTTGAAAGTTTAAACCTTATTTTCTTCTCTCTTAGGAATCACCAAAATCAAGAGAGATATTGTGTTTGCTGCCAGCCTCTACTTGTAGAGTCAGCTAAAGGAATGTGAGATTTTAAATTATATTATTCACCACCTGATTGATTATAGTTGACTACAGATGCCTGCAAACATGGATTTGGTTCTCCCATCTCAAGACAGTTGTCCTCAAACATTTTAATATGTATTATATTTAAATCAAACATCATTCATAGAAAGCATATTACATACACATTTATACATAAGCATTACATTTTTTTAATAAAAATGTATACAGGTGGGGCACTGTTTTGGTGGAAGGCTTGGAATTTTTTAAATGAATTTAGAGCTATTCAATAACGACTGTGTTAAAGGTAACTATGTACACACAAAGTGGGCATCCAAGAGGCATAGCAGCAGCAGCAGCAGTCCTTTAAAGGCTTGTACACTGGGAAGAAAGATGCATCCTCTTGCCTTGTGGCAATCATTTTTCTTTAGAAAACAGGCTAGCTTCACCTGGGCACCCGGCTGCCTGTTAAGGCTGGTGATTGCTCGGATAGTGATTCCCCGTTGGTGTTTCGTGCAAAGTTGTATGAGAGTCCTCCTCTTTTCTTTCTTTAAAGGAAGTTCTTTCTTTGAAGAAATCTGATACATATACAGCCTACAGAGCAAAATATTTAATGGTATAATTTAGATTAAATTAAAAACTATATACAAAGTTGTGATCAACAGCATCCTAAGATAAATACAGACAAAAATATAATTTGAGGTGTACAGATTAAGCATATAAAAAATTAGAGGCTAACTGGGATTTTTTAAAGGAGATTGTTCCAAATTAAGAGTTGCTTTATGTCCTTCAGCAACTAGCTTCATTTTGCCAATACTTAGTAAAGAGTTATTTCTGCATGTGAATTAGTTTTTTCAACTCATACCTCCCCACCAAAAAAAAACATTTTTAGCCAGGGCCTTTTACAATAAAAAATACTCAGATTTTATAAAAATACTAAGTTTTACAAAGAGTAACCTGGTTTTTACCAGCTGTGGATCCTCAAGTGACTTTTAATAACCTTGGGATTCTTTCCCACTGCAGTTTTCTCAGTGGGAATTTTTTTTCTATTATCTAAATGTTTAGCAATATCAAGATGTAGGCTGTTGACCTGTATACTTACAACTAATATTGCAACCAGAGCTCCTTGAATGAGTCCAGTCAACACATCACTCCAGTGGTGTTTGTAATCAGAAACTCGAGAAAGGCCCACATAAATGGATACAGCAACAAGACCAAATTGCAGCGTGGGACGTAAGAGTCTTGCCCAGTCTCCTTTCATCCTGGCTTGAAGATAAAGCTAACAGAAAAGAATAAAGAGAATAGTTTATTTAACATAACAATGCATAACTTTCTATATTAAGAAAGGGTTGGCATTTAAAATGATTATCAAAATATTATGATATAGGGAATAGGACTTCTAGGCAAACATTCATGTATGTATTGCTGCCTAAATGTTAATCCTTTGAAAGAAACAAAACTATTGCCCTACTAACTTGTTTAAAAGAATCTACTGCCAGTCTAGTTATACCACTCTTCAAAAACTATATAAACAAGTGTTTTCTGTTGATGGCTTTCTAAACAGGATTTCAGGGACAGTTCCTTTCCTTGCAGTCTGGGTTACAATTCTGATAATCAAGGCCAGTACTGCCATTGGTTGGTTGTTTTCCTTAAAGAAATGAGGTCTTGCTCTGTTGCCCAGACTGGAGTGCAGTGGTGTAGTCATAGCTCACTGCAGCCTCAAACTCCTGGGCTCAGGCAGTCCTTCCATCTCCACTTCCCAAGTAGCTGGGAGTATGGGTACATGCCACTGAGTCCAGCTAATTGTTTTTATGTTTTGTAGAGCTGGGGGTCTCACTGTGTTGCCTAGGCTGGCCTCAAACTTTTCATCTCAAGCAACCCACCTGCATTGGCCTCCCAAAGTGCTGGGATTACAGACATGCGCCACCATGCCTGACCCAGTATTGCCATTAGTTCTGAGTCTTGGGATAAAGTGCTAGTATTCTGGGCACAGGGTGCCCTTGCTTTGGGACTGTCTAGGGACTATTTGATTAATTCACCAAAGAGAGCTCTCCCACCCTCAAACTGTTTAACAGCGCAACTGAGACTAAATAATCTGTATTTGCAAGTAATACAGGTTGTAGTTTAGTGATGGTCCAGCAAAGAAATGTATTCTTTCAGTAGTGCCTGTACCCCCTTTAAGTTCTATGACTTTTCTATACACTAATCAGACCTGAGAAATTCCACTTTCTCGTGTCAGTCTGTCTTTGACTTTGGGTGCATCCTTAAAATTTTTATGTAGAAGGGATTCTTTTTAGGGATTCCACTCTCATTAAAAAAAACGGGGGGGCCGAGCACGGTGGCTCACGCCTGTAATCCCAACACTGGGAGACCGAGGTGGACAGATCACCTGAGGTCAGGATTTTGACAGCAGCCTGGCCAGCGTGGCAAAACCCCATCTCTACTGAAAGTACAAAAATTGGCTGGGTGTGGTGGTACATGTCTATAATCCCAGGTACTTGGGAGGCTAAGGCAGGAGAATTTCTTGAACCCGGGAGGCAGAGGTTGCAGTGATCAGAGATTGTGCTATTGCCTTCAGCCTGGGAGACAGTAAGAGTCTGTCTCAAAAAATCCAAGAGCTCAATTCTACATGGATTTAAGGGAAAACCATAGTTATGAAAAAAAAAAAAAAAAAGAGAGAGAGAGAGAGAGACAGCTACCTAATTTCTATCTAATAACAATATAATTTTTAACATTTTCTTTTAAAATTCTCTTTTTAAAATTCTCTTCAGTGACTCATAGGCAATTAAATGCAGTCTTCAGAAAACAATATACATAGCTCTCCCCATGGACACTGCCTATTTAAAATAGATGACACAAATCCATTCCCAGCTCTCTGGGCACTGCCATTGGTGTTCAGTTCCCAACCGCTGGCAAAGACCCAGGGCTTACCTAATTTTATCAAGTACTTAGTATAAACATCTAGTTCTAAAAGAGCTTACCAGCTGTTTAACTGAATCTGACTCATCAGCTAGTTTAAGTACCACTGGCATTCTGCAGAATCCTTACTTTTGTTTGTTGTTCACGCTGTGAAAAAAGTAAGTTGTAAGAACTTTGTCTCAAGATTGACCTTATTATTTCTACCTTAATTGGAAACTATTCATTTTAAGGAGAAAAGTTCCTTGATTGCAGCAGAAGCCGAGGTTTAGAGACTACTGTCAAAAAGTTTAGCTGTCCCCCTTTGGTTATTTTGCTACCTTTTCATACAGAAGTTAAATGCATAGCTTATTCAGACTATATAAGTACATACCTAGGAATTAAAATACTTATGAATATAGACATCTTAGGGAATACTGTACCTAACTATGCTAAAGACAAAACAAGAAAACAAACTCTAAAATGGACTTAAGCTAGTCCCATGCTACTTCCAACCTGAAGGAAACTCAGAGATAGATAGGACTTCAAGGCCTTTCCTAAGATTCTAAAATCCCTGTAGCAATATGCTCATTCTAAAGAACCCTGGCTTTCACTGTAGGTAGCCTGAAAACTCATATTGAGTATTATTTTCTCCAAATTTCTTCCCCAACATGACAGTGAAAAGAATTAACATTTACTTACATGATCAACTAAGCTCTAACACTTTTAAGTGAAGCCTTTCCCCCTATAAATAGCTGGTTTTCCCCTCACACATCTAGCCAAGAATAGCGGTTTCACCCATCAGTGAAACTGTAACCATGGACCCCCAAATTATTTCACCGTGAGAGAATTCTGGATTCCCCAGTTGTGGTTCTGAACCTAATCCTGTACTCTAGTCCTTGGCTTCTCTAGTGATAAACGGACACAGCCTGGGTATGCTTCCTATGTGCCCATACTGTGTTTCCCTGGGCCAGGGTACTCAGTGTAGCTCTGTGAAGACTTCCATTTCTGAAGAGCCCAAGGAAGTGGACACCCTGAATTTCTCAGACCTTGGGTCACCTTGAGTTCTACAGTTGACATGCCCAGAAATCCAGACTGGCTTTTCCCCTCCCATCCTGCCGGCAAAACTTTCTTATATGAGTAGGTTCAACAAAGCTAAAAGGTGATGTCTTTCTGGTGGCTCTACTTTGATTCTGAGCAAAACAAGCACTTGACATGACTTCCTTTAAAAGAAAGTCCATTCCTTTAGCTTTCCCTAGCTGCCACAGAGAAGTTGAATGTCTGAAGCTTCTCAGTACAGTACTGTTCTGTTAGAAATAGGTGTAGGGACACAGCTCGTGCTTCAGTGCCAAGGTTAATAGTAAAAAGGCTCTTATAGTTTCCTTCCTTTGCAGATTCCACTCTTCCCTCCTCCCCATACATGCCATTTGCCAACCTTATCTATTAACATCCCTTTTAGGTAAGGTATTCAGTTACTTTTTTAAGAGTTTGAACTTACAGAGCTCTATATCCAACACAGTGTGTGGTACCAGACAGGCTCAGTGGCAACATTACTTTTGAATTCCCCTTCTGGGTGGAATTGCCCATTCACAGATACAGCTGTAAGAGTCAGTCCAGTTTGGACCACACAGCCCTGCCATCTCCCTGCATACCCACATCTCCCTGCACTGACTAGATGACTTAACACCAGGCATCACCCAGAGATCTGCTAGGCTATATTTTGACTCTGGAATTTATACCAGAAGTATGAAGGAATTGTCTAATTTCAAAAGTAGTAGGAAAGGTGCCTAATGAGTACATAATAGGTTATTTGCAAACTAAAGTTAGGAGGAAGCAAAAGCTGTGGTCAAGGACAGCAAGCCATTTAGTTGAAAACAATGGAGTGGGTTTCAAGATGGCTAAAGACATCTGGTACTTGCTTTCTCCTGAAGAACCACCAAAACAGCAGTAATCGCACTTGGAATAGATCACCTGAGAGAGACTGCTGGCATTTAACACCAAAATGACAGGAAACACCTGAGGCAAGTAAGGAGCAGGATGCACAGCAGGGTGCTTGGCAGGGATTGGTTGGGGAGGCTCCCCATGCAGGAAAAGGGTAGATGACCCCCAACAGTCCACATCCACATTCCCATTGTGAAGTCCTGGAATCCCAACCAAGGGAGAAACGCTCAACCCACACAAACAGGGGGCTTGGGGACTGCATGATGGCATTGCTCCAGAAAAGGAGCTTATCCCCCAGAGTCCTAAGCAGCTACAGCAGGGCACCATTTTGAGGGCCCAGCCCCCCAGCAGACAGCATCCTTCCCTGAGGCCCAACAGCCCTCACATATCCACATCTCTGAAGCTCCATTAACATCCCCCATCAAAATATTATGCAAGCCACTGGCAGTGAGCCAGCAGAGCCACTGTGCATTGTCAAGCCTGATTACAGGCTACCCCACCCTGCAGAGGCCATTTGGGGCCAAAGTGCATGCTCCCAACCCACCTGTTTATGGTTGTTGCCATGGAAAACCACCCCTGCCTACCACAGCCAGGCCCTACACACACCACTGAGGGACCTATCCAGCCTGGCTCTACCTACCCCTGTGCCCAGGCACTGGAGGGTGTACCTGTCATTGACACCTGAGCACACCTCCCAGGGGCCTGAGGAAGGGACCACCCAATCTGCTGCTACCACCACCCACATGCACCACCTATGGGCATGGGGACTAGCCACCGAGCCCATCATGGTCAACACCAGCGCAAACCACTTGGGAATCAAGAGGGTTGTCCTGCCACTGCCCGCACCACACCTGATCTGCTGTCTGTGGGCACCAAGCCCAAGGACCTGCCCACCATGCTACTGCTGGCACCAAGCAAGCTGCCTGGTGGCCCAAGAATCAGCCCACCAGGACCCTCTAATGTCAGTGCTACCATACACTGCCCCAGGGCCCAAGGACAGGCATGCTCAGCCTGCTGCTGCCTCTTGGTGCTCGAGGATGGGCCTACCTGATGTTCCCATCTCCAGCAAACGCCTCATTGCAGCAACTAACAACTGCACTGAGGAAATCACACACAACTGATTCTGAACAGCAAAAGAAACAACAGCAACCAACAAAATGGGGAAAAAAATGTTTGCAATTTACCCATCTGACAAAGGACATATATCCAGAATCTACGAGGAACTAAAACAGATTTACAAGAAAAAAACAAACCCATTCAAAAGTAGGTGAAGGATATGAACAGACACTTTTCAAAAGACATATATAAAGCCAACAAACATACAAAAAAATGCTCATCATCACTGGTCATTAGAGAAATGCATATCAAAACTACATTGAGATACCATCTCACACCAGTTAGAATGGCAATGCTGGAGAGGATGTGGAGAAATAGGAACACTTT